ACCAGAAGACATGTGAAGGGAGCGCTTTGTTCCACAGAAACTGAACTTTCCCTTTTAGGGTAAAGGTATCAGGAGAGGTCAAGGCAATCTAACCACATGGTTGTGCAGTCCCCAAATTGTTACTAAAATGAAGGTAAGTCCATATGCCTGTCCTTCCTAACACAAGAATCAGACACCGTTTGCCCCACCTCAGGGATCAGACACCATTTTTACATCACTGCAACAATGGTGAGCCAAGACGAGAACCCAAGCTTAGCTAACCCCACGCTCTTTCCAGCCTTCCAGTGTCCCATGCCGGCAAAGATTGGTGTCAAGGAGCTGCAGAGGGCTCATCAGGGAAACTGGGATGGAAGGACAGCCCTCAGTCTACAGACCCAGCACCTGTGAAGAATTCCTCAAATTCCCAATCAAAGCCTGAAAGTTGGTTCCCAGTGCCCAGTAGAATGAAAACTCCATGTACATTTGTCTGCCCTGATTAGGGCTGAAGCTCTGGTGCCTTAGAACAGGACCTGGTACAAAGCAGACCCACAGTAAATCTTCCTTTGTTGGTGAACGTCTCATGTCTTGTTCAGAGACGTTCTACTTCCCAAAGTCACTGCTGCCTTCGGTTTGCGCATTAAAAACTCTAGTGGGGGTGGGGGAGCACCTGGGTGGCTCAGATGGTTAAGGGTCTGCCTTCAGCCCAGGTCATGATCTCAGGGTCCTGGGATCAAGCCCCACACTGGGCTCCCTGCTTATCGGGAAGCCTGCTCCCCCTCTCTCCCTCCCTGCCTCTGCCTACTTGTGATCTCTCTCTGTCAAATACATAAATAAAATCTTAAAAAAAAAAAAAAAAACCTAGTGGGTAATGTTTATTATGTGTTGGAGTCACTCCCAGAATATGGCCAAGAAAATGTACAGAGCTGAAGAGGGACTAATAAAAAGCCAAGAGGACTGAGGAAACATTTCAAATACATAATGAAATATACCTTTCAGTAAAAGACATTAGTGGCAGGATGAGTGCCCTCCCCAAAGCAGTCCAGGTCCTAGTCCCTGGCACCTGAGTAGGTTAAATCACATGGTAAAATGTACTTTATAGATATCATTAAATGTGTATATTTTCAAATAGGGAGATGATCCTAGATTACCTAGATGAATCCAATCTAATCACGTGAGCCCATAAAGGCAGAGGACTTCCTCTGGCTAGAAGCAGAGAGATATGGCAGAAGGAAAAGAGAAAAACTTAAAGCATGAGAGAGTCTTGACCCAGCGTGGCTGGAGAGAATCCACATGAAAATCATGAGAAGAAATGCTGGCAGCCTCTAGGAGCAAAGACCAGCCTCTAGCTGACGTCCAGGTAGTAAACAGGGACACCAGTCGTACAACTGCAAGAAACTAAGTTCAGCTAACAACCTGAATAAGCCCAGAATCAGATGTATCCTCAGAGCCTCTAAAAAGGAATACAGTGCTATAAAGCCTCTGGTTTCAGTCTCTTGACACTCTAAGGAGTAGACCCAAGGGAACCACACACTGTGCCCCAGACTTCTGGCCTACAGGATTATGAAATAATAAATTCATGTTATTCTAAGCTGCTAAGTGTATAGTTATTTGTTACAGCAACAATAAGAAACCAACACTATGAGCAAGGACCTTGACAAGAGAAGCCAACAAATCCCTCTGGCCAGAATTTGCTAGTCCCCTGTTATGTCATTCTCGCAGTCCAAAACAGACTGGAGGTTACTGGAGGACAGCAGAGAGAGGTCTCCCCATAAAGATGTCTCCTTTGTCTGGGAAAGGTAGGCACTGCTTCAAGAAGGACGTGCAAGGAAAGCAAAGGAAAGTTCACCTGCCCCAACCAACTAACAGCCAAATCCACCTTGCTGAGCAGTGAGGCAAAAGAAGTCACTGTTAATAGCCACGATCCCCTCCTAGAGGCTGTTAAGTCAACAGCACAAGTACTATGAACGTTAAGTCTCCCTTCACAAATGCATTTAACCTGGAGATATTTCATACATTGACCTATCCTTGTACTCCTCAGAAGCCATCCTTGTGAGGATCTCAGTTGAGTTCAGCTCCCAGAACATACCTGACACATAATGAATTTAACATAGTTCAATAAATGAATACGTTTTTAAATTAAAAGGAGAATGCCTAATGGAAATCACTATTAATCCCAGAGAACTTTAAGGATGCAGTAACATTCTAAAGTCCGGTATTAATTTTCATGCAAGGTATAAATAATTGAGGTGTACACATAAACAAGAATCCAAAGAGTAAGCAGCCTTGACAACATCTAGGCAAAGGATAAAATTTTCCACATTGGGGAGGGTATGTGCTATGGTAAGTGCTGTGAAATGTGTAAGCCTGATGACTCACAGACCTGTACCCCTGGGGCAAATAATATATTGTATGTTAATTAAAAAAAAAAAAAAGAATAGAATTTTTCACTGAAATATTCTTCAGGACTACTTTGCTTGGCATGACTGAGTCCTAACACAGAAGAAAATTTCTATCTGGCCAGCAGTTGCTTTCAGCATAAAAATATTTCTATTGATGACTAACTTCTATTTATTGAACACCTAACATATGCCAGTCCCCTTGTCATGCTCTTCATATGCATGACCAATAATGACAAAGGATAAAGTATAAAATCTGTATGTAAAAGAAAAAGAAACTGAGGCTCACTCACACTCAAGTTATCTAAGGTCACACAGCTGGTAAAACTGCTGACACAATGTTTGAACCCAGACACAGCTGACCCCAAGCCCATGGCCCTTCCCCTCTGCCACACTTCCCCCCAAATTGTCAAAACACTGTTGTCCAGATCAGCAGGAGACAGAGGCAGCACAGGAGAAAGAGAATACACTTGGCTGAAAAACAGAAAAACACCCACACTAAAAAAAAAAAAAAAAAAAAAAAAGAGGGCGAGAGAGAGTGAGTGAGAGAAAGAGAAATATTTCAAAACATGTCTTTACTGAAAATCCACTTCTAGGACAGAAACACACACTGACACCCCAGTTTCTCTCCCCACGACTCTGCAACAACCATCTGGTTGTGGCTCTTGTGTGTTTCTCAGTGTGATTAACTGCCCATTGCCAACAATGTCGCATGTCACATTCATCTAACATCAAAAATGTTGAAATGTCAACCAAGTGGCAGGAGTAACAGGCTGTTTACTGTAAATCAAATATCAATCCCAGTGCTCCAATTAAGGCCCCATTTAACTCGATAAATAAAAGTCACATTTCAAAATGTTTGGAAGTCATTTCATCCCAAAGGTATCCTTTAAAAACCACCTTTTCACAGAACAATTTTGACCACTCACTATGTTCTAATTCAAGAGCCTCGTTTTCTGACTTTATGGAGAGAGAGATCTCAGCAACAGCAGATAGACAGGAGCAGAACCGGAGATGCTCTCTGTGTCCAAGAAACGTGCAAAAAGCATATGGTAGCCACCTTCATACCCAGTTGTGAACCAACTGATCTACAAGGCGTAACCACAACAAGATAGGCTGCGATGTAGCTGACAGTTTTGATGGTGCATTTCCATATACAGTGTCATGCTAACCCTCCCAACCAGGGAGGAGTGATCATCAGGCTGAAACCTAAGCTGCTGACCACCAGATCATGAAGGCTACACTGTCACTCTACCTGGAGTGCAATCCATACATTATATGAGTGAAGGGATTTTCTGGGTTGTGCACACAGTAAGTGGTTATTAATTAAACAGAAATGAAACAATGAATGGGCACCAATATAAATTATTATGTCTTCTAAAAGCACCCCTACTTCCAAAATTTGCATCATTCTGGCCGAAAGGATGAACATTTCTGTCTTACAGAGAAATAAAGCAAAAATAACTAAAACTGTACAAGGAAATGGTCTACCATTTCTAATAACCTTTGGCACTCTATGTCATACAACCCAAAAAGTGCTAACAGGCTGCATATGTCTACATCAGTGAGCTCAGGTAGCCACTTGGACCAGTCTTCTGGAACTGCAAACCTTATCCCCATTCAGAAATATAGACCTTATTTGAAATTATACCAGAGAAACATTAACCAATAGAATTGCAGACCACTGAACAAAGCAACTCAGTATTTTTTTTTTTAACTGAAACAGAAAATGCTACTTCTGGAATAAAACAAAAACAATCGTGGGCACTAGGCTTAAACCCTTTATACTGACTGGTTCACCATCAACCCTGCCACAGAAAATCCCAAGAACTCACAGAGTTCTACTACCTTCATCTCAGGCAGAAGCTGCACCATCATAGAGTCAAGTAGGATACAAGAACTTCTTGATGGTCACTAGTGTATAAATGGCAGGAGATGTTTCCAACATCGCTTTCTAGGGTATGATCCAGCCACAGCATCCAAAAACTGGACATTCTTAATATACCTGGGATAATGGATCTCTCTAGAAAGAAATCATGCTCCACAAAGTCCCAAAGGTTTCTGATTTCTTTTTATTATAATGAGGAACATCTCTTTCCAGGCACATCCTTCTTCTGTGGAAAGACACATCCGGGGTCTTTCCCTGGTTTTAAGAGAACCTACTGACAAATCAGAGTGCTATCTGGTAAGAAGGAGACCAGAACACCAAATGCTAAATGCTGTTGTTGGAGAGGTATGTCAACTAGGGCTCTCAGAAAATCCAAAGAAATATACCCATTCTGGAACTATACTCAACCCTAAATTTAAAAATTTAATATTTAAAAAAATTAAATATTTAAATATTAAAAAAAAAAAAACATAAAAAACAGGTCTTCTCTGAAACAGTCACAAAGGACCTTACGCTTAGACTCAAAGGCAAACCCAACTCAATCTTTCCCCTTTGACCCTTTGGGAAAAGTCCCAGAGGTTTAAAAGAACAGGATACCACTGAGCTAAATTACCTCTCAAACTCCCAGCCAGCCCTATGTTTCTACAAAAAAAAACAAAGTTATGTTATCCAGGGAAAATGTTCACATTCCAAAAGCACGAGTGTCTGAAGCTTCTCCACGAGGCAGGCCTACTCACCAGGATGGGCTTCAGGATGTCCATGTTGGAACGAAGCACTTGCTCTGCTGCATCTAGTTTCTCCCTTGGCAAGCTGCAAAGCTTGGAAAGTTCTTGTTCATCAAGCTGAATCACCTCCTCCAATTCTGATCCACTGCACAGATCGGTCAGATGTAACTGGTAGCCTTGCAAAAATACCTGGAAGCATTTTATGCAAAGAAAGACAAGCAAAACTGGGTTACAAAGAAGGGAGGCAGGGTCAAGACAGCTTTGAAGAATGGACACTGTCACAATAGTGCAATGCATCAGATCTCTTTATGGACCTTTGGAATGTATCAAGGCACAATTTGATAGGAAACCTAAAATCTGAATGTTGTATTTGGCTCATCAACTCCCACACTCTTGTCCTTATGAAAGGAAATCCTGAGTCCAAATCTTTTTCTCAAAAGAATGGGACACATAATTCAGGAAATAGGAATTGCAAGTCTAAACTCCTGAAACCATTTTAATTATTTTATTAGAGAAAAACATTCTCATTATTTTGGAACTTGTGATATGTTAAACGGGGGTTGGGTTGAATTATGGGGACAAAAAAGCATTCATACTATTTACTTACAGGGATAGATATTTCACAGATGCGGAAAACTATGTTGAAGCAATTTTAGAATTTGGAACTCTTCATTTTATCTGCCCCAGAGCAGAGTATGAGAAAGCCAAGCCTCTCATGAAAAGGCCTCATTAAAGGCCAACTGTAAATCATTCTTATGCATTCATTATACCAGACCCCCTAGAGAGCCTCTCCTTGGCCATATTTTGTCTACTTAATTAGCTTTCCTGGGCCTAACAGACGGCACCTCTTTATACATGGTCCTTCCTGCCCATGAGACAGCAAATTCAGTAAGAGGGGCTTGCTTTTCTTGCTCACATTAAGTCCATAATACTGAAACATTATCAACAGTAAATACCTGTGGAATTAACGGATGGTGCAGATTCTGCATTACTCCATTATTACCTCCCACTGTTAGTTTAAATTAGTGTGGCTTGACCTCCTTGCAGTACAACCTAGTGTGAGTGATGGACCAAAGCCGCTCCAGGCCTGTGTAGCTTTCTAACACTGCAGAGCATTGGGCCTGCCACGGTTTCCATGAAGTTTTCACCTACTACTAGACATGCAAGTGCCCTTCAGTTTTACTCCTTTCCCCAAGTAGTCCTTGCTGTTAGCCTACCTTCGGTATCTGGGTCTGAGAGCATGGATTACAGAGAGACCCTAAAACCACGCAAGGACAACCTCCACACTTAGGATGCCCCTCATTTTAAACTGATCTGATATGGCAGATACAAAATTGGCAGGGAGAAATGGAAATTGTGCTAAATGCAACTGTTTTCATAAGCCTGCTGTCTTTGGCCCATCTCCCAACCATACAACTGGTAAATACAAGGCATATTTTCCTAGTTTCATAAGGGCAAAGCAGTAAGCACATTTTTCTAATTTTAAAAATTCTACATCATGTAAAGCAAAGATCTTATTTTCAGGCATAAACATTTCCACTACTTCTGCTTACTATAAAGATAAGCTAGTGTGTAGACGTGAGACAGGGTAAAGAAGCAGGGCCCTTTTCTGCCAAAGAATAAACTTGGGAAGCTTCTCAGAAAATCGATAACCATACAACCTGGGTCTGTTACTCACTGCACAGGAGCTCTATGATATTTAATTATGCCAAAGGAAGTTTTCTAAGAATCTACAATTAAAATTCTATATAAACACCAATATTACTTCCTGGTTTTACAAATTAAGGGAAAAACATTTTTTTCTCCTTATATAATTTTCTTATCCATCCTTAAAAGAAGCATTAAGTTTTTAAAATCTCCTGTCTTGGGTTTTATAGACAGCTGCTCTGTTCAATAATCCTCAACTCTGGTTATGGTCTGAGAATTGTGAAAATTTTTTAAAAAATGCTTAATTCATCTTAACTTAAATTCACTTCCCCCCTTTCTAGTGGGAAGGTATCAACAAATGCCAGTTGACAGGCAGGAAATCAGTTTATTTCAACCAGCTGGTCCACGACCCCAGGTTGCACATTCCACTCTCTGAATGGTTTGGCAATGCCAGCCTGAGCAGAGAAGTAAAAATGGGTAAGCTGAACTTGAGCTAATAACCTCCTTCAGCACCATAACCAAAACAGGGGCTTATTCATTTCTTTCCAGACACTCTTAAACAATATAACTTCCATCAGCCCCACTGAGGAAGCTGAACATCTCAGCTTACCTTGTGGAGACTGACATTGGCCCCCTGTATTTTGTCCACGGTAGGCCTTGGCAGAGAAAGGTTGTAAGTCAGGAATCCAGAGAAGGTTTCGTTGTCCACCAGGAAATCCTGAAGCTTCAAGCCTGTCGAGAAACGTATTTTATTTTCATTTAATAAGTTAAAAAAAAAAGTCAGGACAATGAGACAATTGGAGAAAACATCTTAATATCGACGGTCTCGTTTTAAACCAGTTGATAACCACAGGCTTCTGGCTGAAACATACAGGAAAATGACATTCAGGGAGCTTTGCCCTACAGGAGAGATGAAAAGTATGATTTCTGTAGATTAATAGAACCAAATTCCAAGTGTGCTCCTAGACTCAAACAGTGTGAACGCTCACACAGCCTTTCCTTCTTTTCAAGGAAAAAGCCAAACTTTTTTTTTTTAAAGATTTTATTTATTTATTTGACAGACAGATCACAAGTAGGCAGAGAAGCAGGCAGAGGGAGAGGAAGGGAAGCAGGCTCCCCACTGAGCAGAGAGCCCGATGCGGGGCTCAATCCCAGGACCCTGAGATCATGACCTGAGCCAAAGGCAGAGGCTTTAACCCACTAAGCCACGCAGGCACCCCAAAAGCCAAAACTTTTAAGTGATCTCACCCATCCCATCTGAGATTTGTGAACTTAACACTACTATTCCTGTCTCCCAAATGCCACCTCAGCTAAACACCGGAGCTACTTAAAGCCTTAGACCCATAAGCCCAGGGAGGCTGATCTTCCTCTTGATGCAGAACAGTGGTTCTCAAACTTGAGTGGACAACAGAATCATCTAAAGGCTTGTTAAAACAGATTTTCTGCCTCCGCCCCCAGAGTTTCTGAATCAGCCAGCCTGGGATGAGGCCAGAGAATCACATTTCCAAGGAGCTCCCAGGTGATGCAGATGATGCTGGTCTGGAAGCCACCCTTTGAGAACCACTGGAGGAGAGTGTTACGCATATCAAAGCACTCTCACAGATGTGATCTCATTTTAATTTCAACCATGGAACACATGATACAAAGCTCCAAAGCCCAGGTCTGCTAGATTTTAAGAAAACACAAGCATATATTTAAAAATCAACCCAACTAAATGACTCGATGGCTGCAGGGTTTCATAAAGAATCTCTTTAAAAATAAACCCTCCAGGTACATTCCAGTGTAGTGAAGCAGAAAGAGCACGGGCCAGAAATCCAGAATTTTAGTCCCTGGAGTTGGAGTCTGTGACTTGTGGTGTCATTTGGGCATTTCATATCCTCTTTCTGAACCTCAGGCTTCTCCAAAATGAGAGGTTTCTGACCAGATGTTAGGTGGGAGTCCCCTCACTCTGAAATGCTACCATATTCCCTGCTCTAGTTCATTTGACTGTCCACTTCTCCTTCTGCCCCTACTCTCTTAATAACCCAACTTCTTTCAATAAAGAGAAAACCAGTCCACCCTTTCCTTGTGACTAGGCAATGCTCATTTGCAAACGGCAGCCCACAGACCCAGGCACTAACAGACCTCTAGGGGGCAAACCTTACAAACCCAATCATTTAACTGAAGCAAAATAGAGGGTTGATCTGAAATGGGGCTACAGTATGAGGCTTAAAGAGGACAGGAATTAATCCTGGGGGTGAAGGGGGGGTCACGTGCATAGATAAAGCAGAAGGAGGGCACAAATGCCCAACCAGACTCTCATCTTTGCTGCCAGATCCAGGCATGTTCTCAAGCAAACTTGAATAATTTAGAGCTATAGAAAGGGTAAGTTAAGCATGATTCACACCTATAAAGAAATGACTGTCTGGTTACACCTGACATACTAACACCTGGTATTCTTCACGACACCTTCAAGAAGCTGTTCCTTGCCCAGTTAGTGTCTCTCCTCAGAAGATGCCCTCCTGCTCATGAACGCCAGCCTGGTGGTGGCCATCACATAGGACACTATACTCTTACTGCAGCACTCACTCCTGCAGTCGCCAAACCTCAAGGCACCTAAGATTCACTTAGGGGGCATACTAAAATGCTGTTTCTTGGGCCCAATTCCCAGAGACTCTGAAATAGTGGATCGGGAGTGGGAGAGGGACATTATGAGAAGGAAAGGAAAAGTGAATTGGAGGAAATCAGAGGGGGAGATGAACCATGACAGACTGTGGACTCTGAGAAACAAATTGAGGGTTTTGGAAGGAAGGGGGTGGAGGGGCTGGGTGAGCCTGGTGGTGGGTATTCAGGAGGGCACATATTACATGGAGCACTGGGTATGGGGCATAAACAATGAATCTTGGAACACTGAAAAACTAAAATTAAATTTTTTAAAAAGTATCCAAAAAAGGAGTCTACATTTTAATAAGCATTCCTTATACTCCTAATCCAGGGAGTCTGGGGACCACACTTTAAGGAATGTTTTTTTAATTTCCATATTATCTCCACTAGACTATGCCTGAGATACAGAATATGTGTATGTGGGTTGGTTGGTTTGTTTTTAAGCAAACAACATGGGGCTTGAACCAACATGGGGCTTGAACTCACAACCCCGAGATCAAGAGCCACATGCTCTACAGACTGAGCCAGTCAGCTGCCCCCAGGATATGTGTTTTATCTTTGTATCCCTGTGCCCAGATCAAAGCCTGGCAAAGAATTACTGGTCATTACAAAGAATGATGGCTAGATCATAAATACCAGGAGGTGAGATCAGGGCTGGGAAGACTCGAGAAGTATCTCAGCAGTATCAGATTTTCTTTCAGTCGAGTAGGACCAAGAAGGGCCCAGAGATATCAGGACAACCCCCAGGCTACAACCCAGGAGTAAACAGGATCCCTGTGTTATATTCCCAGGGACACAAAGTAACAGCCAGCTGTTTACCCCAATCGTAGCTTTCAAGAAGGAAGGTAGGAAACCTGGTGGCTTCAAGTGAAGCCCGGCATGAAAAGCCAGACACTGACCATTGTGGAACAATGGGGGAAAACAACACAATGGGAGTCAGTAGAGCTGGGATCTGTATCCATTTACTTGCCAGGACATTTCACCCAAGCTGTGTCTCCACTGCCTTGCTCTGAAATAAAGACATCTCTGAGCCCCGGCAGAACACACACACGAGTCGGCCCTCCTCAGCCACGGGGACCACAAATTCCTCCCGAGCGTGAAAAGCCGGAGCCGAGCGTGCACACTGTGCTCGGGAACGTCACTACAGCCTCCTCGCTCCATAGTAGGATTGCTGAAGTGTGGGAGGACGACCCAGCCTGCACTTGCAGTGGGTCGAGGTCATGAGCAATACTCTTGAGACCAGCAAGTAGACTCGGTGTGTTTATAAGACTCTTCTGCTAGGTCAACAGGCTCTGAGGACGAGAACAGCTGGGTGTGATCAAACTCAAACCGCCTATCAGTGACACCCCTGGGTGAGACAGAAGAACCAGGAGGCCGACCTAAATGTCAACAGCCCTTGGCAGTGCATGTGCACAGGGTGATGAGATCGCTGGGTGGGGGAGCAGCAGGGCGGGCCAAAGATCCCTGGCTACCAAGGAGTACATTCTGGTCACGTGCGTACCACACACGTGGACCTAGTTTCACGTACCACTGCCAACAGCTACAGCCAGCATGGACAGAGAAAGGCAATGTGAGGCAATGCACTGCTTCTCAACCTTGGCTCTTGTTACACTCGAATAGGCAGTGTTACAACAACTCCAATGCCCAGGCTACAGCCCCCGACATCAAATGAGAACCTCCAGAGCCCACACCCGGGTATCAGAATTTTAGAAACAGTGGAGTGGTACAAAGACCAGGGATGTGGGGCCAGGAAAACCTAACTTTGATGCTAGACTCTGCCATTTATTGACTGTGGCTTTGAGAAATGCATTTTGCCTTCCTGAAACCAACTTTTCTCATCTAAGAGGTAAGGATAACAGTATCACCACCTTCCCAAGATGGGAAGATTGGAGATCACCGTCAGTAAAACATGAATAGTGAAAAACTGGCTCATGGTACATGCTCAAAAAATGGTGATAATTTTTTGATTACTGAGAAGGGTTTCTTTCACTAAACTTTACCAATGTACCAAAGTGAAGTGTAATGAGAAGGCTTAAGAACACAGTTCTTGCCCTCGGGGAACTTTCAAGATTGATAAGCGAGATGAAGAAACAGGTCAGTAAAGGAGGAGGAGGAATGAGGAAGACAGGTCATGCAAGTGACCAAGATGAGGCTTGTCTGTAAGTGCTTGGAAGGAGGGGGGAATTAGCTGAAGCCAAATTCTGGAAAAGGACAAGGGGCCAAAAATCTCTTGAGGTTGTGGCTGGGGCGATCCCTCAGCATGGCAGAGCCAGGACACCCTGTAGTTGTAGTGCTATATTCATACTAGGTGCCCATAAATGTTCTTCAACGAATAAATAAATCAACAAGCAGATAAACATACAGAAGATTCCTCAAAACCTAAGATTTGGGGACTAAAATGGGCGAGGGAAGACAAAGGAGTATAGTGGGGGCCAGAGTGGGGTGGCTTTGTACCTCTGGTCTCCATTTTCTCTATTATATAGCTGGCAGGAAAATGAGTGGAGAAGCCAAGAATATGGAGAAAGTCAAATGTCTAAAACAGCCCTTCTTCCCCCTTTGGCCTAGCTAATTCCTACCTACCCGCCCCCTTTTATTAATGACTTGGTCCATGAGTCATCTCCTCCAGGAAGCCTCCCAGACTTTCCCACCCTCAAGCTGTGTTAGGAGGCTGTCCTTTGTGCTCTAATAGCCTCCTCTGCTTCCCTCAAACAGCACGCAGATGGAGCTACCCTCATCTAGGCACACAGCTTTTTGCCAGAAGAGGGGTACATGGGTATCTGAGTTGGTTAAGCATCTGACTCTTGGTTCCGGCTCAGATCATGATCTCAGGGGTCATGAGATCGAGCCCAGTGTAGGGCTCCGTGCTCAGCATGAAGTCTGCTTGAGATTCTCTCTCTCCTTCTGCTCCCCTGCTCATTCTCTCTCTCTCTCTCTCTCAGATAAATAAATAAACAAATAATTTTTTTTTTTTAAAGTCTCGAGGGCCAGGACTTTGTCATTTCAAAGTACAGTAGTGCCCAGCCCAGAGGAGGCACCAGAGGAGGCACCAGAGGATCCAAATTCAAGTCCTGGCTTTGCTCTTTCCTAAG